GTTGAACCTCATCAGGTTTCTTTTGGCCCAATCCTCTAATCTGTCTCGGTCCCTCTGTATGCACAGGGGGCTCTGAGCCCTGCCCTGCTCCTGGGGCAGCACCTGCCAGCCCCTTCACAGCTCGGCTCCTGGCTAGGGCAGGGGGACTCCAGCTGGGCCCTCCCCTTTGCTGGGAACAGGCTGCCAGGGGTAGCGGAAGTCAGCCTGGCTGGGTTGGGTGATGGCTGAGGGGTGAGTGCCCCCCCGCCTCCCAGAGCCCCCCGAACTCGCCCGTGTGCGCCCCCCCCCCCAGAGCTCCCTGGCCCAGCCCCCTTGCGTCCCTGCAGCCCTGGGTTTAGTTTCACAGTGCAGAGGGCAAACGCTCTGGCACTTGGCATGGGCCCCAACCCAGTGGGGTGTGGAGCAGGGCTGGGGGTGATGTGACCCCTGGAGGAATTGTGGGGAGGGGGAGGGCTATGAGCTGCAGGGGGAGGGGACAGTGGGGGGCGGGGAGGGGCAGTGACCCTGCAGTCCCAGCCCTGGCCGAGCTGGTGCTTGCCCCCCAGTGGGCGGTGGGTGCCCCTGGCAGCAGTGCTCACGGTGCTCTCCCCGCAGTGCCTCGCCTTCCGGGACGTGGCCCCACAGGCCCCCGTGCATTTCCTGGTGATCCCCAAGCACCCCATCCCCAGGCTGAGCCGCGTGGCCGCGGGGGACGCAGAGGTGAGCAGAGCGACTGGACAGGACCCTTCCCCGAGGTGCCTCTGTCCCGGCTGGGGTTGGGCGGAGAGCGCAGCCCAGGGAACAGCGAGGGTCATGGGGAGCTGAGTGCTGGGCACAGGAAGGGGGCTGGACAGCCCCATGTGCTGTCTGGAGAGGGTGCTGGCACCAGAACCACGGGGCGGGGGCCGTTGGCTCCAGCCCTGGTATGGACTGGCTCTGACCTTGGGGTGCCCCCTGCCTGGCTGTCGGTGAGGCCCTGGGGTGCCCCGGGCTGGGTGTGAAGGTGGGTGCTCTGGGGGAGGTTCAGGGGTGCGGCGCTCTAGGTCCTCAGGGAGGGGTTCTGAGGGTGCTGCCCTGGGTGCCCATTTCCCCCCTCAACCTGCCCCTCTGCTCACGCCCAGCTCCTGGGGCACCTGCTGGTGGTGGCCAGTCAGACGGCGAAGGTGGAGGGGCTGGTGGATGGCTACCGAGTGGGTGAGTTGCTGGGACCCCCTGCACTGGGGAGCGCCCGGCTGCCTGCCCTGCCCTAGGGGTTTCCCTGGCGCTCGCCAGCATCGCCCGCTGCCAGCCCAGCTGTGACCCTGCCCCAGACGTGTGAGAGCCACTGGTGCCCCCCAGCACTTCCCTGCTTTGCTGCCCTGGAGCGTCATCTCCCCATCGCGCCCATGGGCTGGGGCCCTGCATGCGCCCCCCCCCCCATGGCCTCAGCACGTGTTGTACCCCCCCACCACTGCCCTAGCACCCTGCTCTGGGTGGAGGGGGCCGGCCTGCCCACAGGGGGCTGGCCCCACCCCACTCACCCGGCCCATAGGGGGCCAGCCCTGTCCTGCCCTCTCACCATGCCACGCCTGTAGGGGACCGGACACCGCCCCACCCACCAGCCCCCATGCCACACCTGTAGGGGGATGGCCCTGCCCCACTCGCCCCAGACCACTTGCCCCACCCTGCCTGCAGGGTCCAGCCCCACCCTCGTGCCACCCCACTCGCCCTGCCCATGGGGCCAGCCCCGCCCCCCTCGTCCCGCCTGGCACACTCACCCCGTTTCTCTGCCTTTCAGTGATCAACGACGGGAAGCGGGGGTCTCAGTCCGTCTACCACCTGCACTTGCACGTGCTGGGCGGGCGTCAGATGGGCTGGCCCCCAGGCTGAGCTGCAGCGACGGACGCAGCGCCAGCCCCGCTGGGCAAACCAACTCCTCAATTAAAGCGCTGTGAGAGAGCCTGTGTGACTGCTCGCCCATCTGTCCCGGTGCCCGTCCCCCGGCTGTCTGGGGCTCACACTGGGCAGGGGGGTCGGCCTCCCGCCCCGCAGGAAGAGGCTGCGCTGGGGGAGGGGAGCACACGATGCCCAGGGCAGAGGAGTGGGGGGAGGGGAGGAGGTAGCGTGTGATGCCCAGGCTGGGAGGAAATGAGGGGATCATGTGATGCCCGGGGATGGGGCGTGTGATGCCCGGCGGGGAGTGAGGGGGGAGCATGTGATACCTAGGCCGGGGAGGAATGGGGGGGACCTGTGTGATGCATGGGCTGTGGGGCTGCGGCTGCCTGTCCATCCTAGTCTGTCCAGGCTCTGGTCCTGCAGTGTCTGGGCGCCTCGCCAGGGCGGGAAGCCACATGAATCATAGAATATCAGGGTTGGAAGGGACCTCCCCCGCCCCGCCCAGTCCTTGCAGGGACTGGCGCAGGAACCCTAACCCGGACGGGCCCTCCTGAGTGCGGCACCCTCTGGAATCGTCACCTCGGCCCGGTGTCTCTGTTACCCCAGGGGCTCAGCCCTGCCGGTCTCAGCCAATGTGGGCTAGAACACGTGACAGCGAGTCGCTGGGCATGCGGCTACGGCATACGACACCCTAGCCAGAGTATCACGGCATCAGCCAATAGTGCCTCACTCTGCCATAGACCGGGGCTAGCCCCATGGTGCATTCCCCAGTCCAGGACCTGGGTTTAGACGCTGAGGAGGTGTGTGACCAGCTGGGCACATGTCAGTCTCTGTGGGGCTCTTCTCTCTAGTCAGGCAGCCTCACACTTCAGCGGGCGGTGCTAGTGATCTGTCCTCTTGTGCCCGGCTGCTGTCAGATGCCGTGCTGTCCTCTTGGCACTTGTACCTGCCAGTGCCTGGTGTGAATGGCTCATCAGCCTTCAGTACCCACATCTGGGTGAACTGTTGCTGTCTCTGGATTCAGTCTCTGGTGCGGGCAGCGTCTGGCACCATCCCATCGTGCCGTTCCCCTTCACTCCTGCTGCCCGGCGCACCGGACTCCCCATTCCTGTCCTTATTTGCATCCCTTGTTCCCCATGTGGTCTGTGCAAGGTGAGCTGTCACAGGGAGTGCAGGATAGCGGTGGAGAACTGTGACCCCTCCTCTTCCAGCCTCCGTAGGCTGCCCGACTGCCTGTCCTCACAGGGCGAGCCCAGACCCTAAATGACTTACATTGTCGACACTAACAGTCCTCCTGCAGCTATCCCATAATGCCCCATTCCCTGCGACAGTGACCGCTCTGGGTACAGTTTTGCACTCCACTACCCAAGGGTCAGAAACCAGAAGCCCCCCTCCCCCCCACATTTAAAACCTGTGTTTTTCATCTGTCTTTTCCTGGTTGCCTGCCTTGAGAGCACCCCCAGCAGCTCCCCCATGAGTGCACCTGACCACGCCGGCTCCACGCACGGATGCGCCTGCCTGGAGCAGACAGGAAGTGTTGCTCTCCAGGCCCTGTGGGGAGTAGAGGCTGAGCGAGCTCAGCCATTGACCAGTCATAGCCATGTGGGCGTCCAGGGGCACGTTGCACGGGGGCTGCAGGCAAAGGGGTCTGAGTGGGATCAGCGTGGAAGCAAAGGAGCGCAGGTGTCTAGGGGTGGCTGCCTCATTCTTCCTCTGTGGCAGGATACGTGCCCACGCTGCTCTGCAGTCAATTCAGCTGGCACCATTGCGGCAAGCAGGCGTGACGGGGGGTTCACGGCTCTGTGTCAGCAGCTCATCGGGCCCAACATACTCACTGCACCTAACACAGTAGGGTTCTGAGAGGCATGTCAGATCCCAGTATATGTGATGTGTGCGGGGTGTGTACAAAGGGTTATAGGCGTGTCTTTGGCAAGCCATGCACCAGCCCGGTCTGCCTGAGACAAAGGAATGTCTGAGCAGCCTGGCCGTCCGGCAGAGACAAGGGAGGTACATTTACATGTAAGGTAAGCCAAGCAGGGGAGAAGACAGCACGGCAGCTGCCCCAGCAGGAGAGAGGGATTTTGTCTGGTTTTACATAGCAAAGACAACGTTTTGGAGGGTTACTGGCCACCGCAGGGAGAGCGTTGTGGGGAGATTGGGGGTTAGGAGGTGGTAGTGTCCCTGCAAACAGTAACTGGGTGCTGGAAGTTGGGGTGGCCTGCAGGCTTGTGTGTGGCTGTTGGGGGCCAGCTGTGAGCACAGCAGCGTAGCACTGAAGGCCCTAGAGCGGCAGGGCAGGCAGTGACAGCCCCTCCCTGGCCTGGATTGAGCCCCAAACGTCACAACAGCCGGGGGCATACCGGCCCAGGCAGCTTCGGGACGCCAGCTGGAGCTGTGCCTTTGTGTCCCTCAGGCTGTGGACAATAGTGCCCGTGTGCAGTGCCGTTTGCGGGGTGCGCTCTGGGGCGAGACGGGCTGGTACAAAACAGGGCTGTGTGTGCCGTCTGTCCCCCCAGTGCTGCCAATCTCTGCGCTTTGCTCTGTGCGTTGCTGGGGGTCACAGCGGTGGGGCAGGAGACAATGGCCCTGCACGCTCACATGACAACGGCCCCCGCGGTGGATTTTCCAGCTCCACGATGAGCTGGGAGCTAGCCGGGGTCGCAGGCTCCCACGGGGCAATCCCTGCTGCATTGCCAATGCAGCTCGTTCTGCTGTCCCTGGGCTGTGGCGAGCGCGGCACACAGCTCCGGGACTGGGGCCTTTCACAGCCACCGCTCCTCATCCCACGCCTGCACTGCGATGTGATCCCAACAGTCAGTGCCTGTTTCTTGGGCTACACCCTCTGCAGCTGCTCTGGGAACACCACCAAGCTCCAATTGTTTTTGCTGTCTCTGTCATCAAACGGCCCTCGAAGAAATCCAGGAGAGTCGTGCGGCCTGTGCTTGCAACGTTCCCGGGAAAAGTGCAGAGCTCTGCAGGCTCCATGCTTCTGTCGCAGCTGGCAGGGACTGAAAAGCACCCTGTGGGATTTTTTAAAAACGATGGGAAATAGATTGCATTATGGGATGGAGAAAGTTGCATGCTGGGAATTTGAGTGTACCTCCCAGAGAGCCTTAGGTGAGTCATTACTGTCCCATTGCACTGGGTGGTGGCAAGTGCCACCCTGCAATGGCTGCCCATGGTGCACCACACGTCACACTGACACAGACACTCCTGGTGAGTACGCATGGTGCTGACAT